GAGTATGTTTCAACGACATGGTATTAAACTATTTTGTATCAAACTAGCTATAATATACAAAAAATATTTTTTAATACATTATGTAGTAACTGCGAGAAAATTTCGTTTTAGATTACTACAAGGTTTTATTTACGTTGCTCCTCTATTAAAACTTAGCAATATAATGTAACTGATACTATGTAATTTTCAATTTATCAACATAAAGGTTTCAAAGAGTTTTAACAGCCGGAAAACACGAAAGAACACAATAGAAGTGATTTGTTGCACTGTCGCGGGACGCAGGGTTTCGTTCGCTTCGCCATGTTATACATGGAAGTGCCAACATACGAATTGGAAAATTATATTTTGCTCAATAAAATACTCGACAAAGATACAGTAGGTATGAACTGATAGATCTCCATATGCGACATTACATCTTTTTGGGACGCGTTTGTATGTATAATAAGTCATTAACTTATTTTCATTTAAATAAAACACTTAAACTGTTTAAAACGTGCCTCACGGTTTTATTTTAGTCTAGTTTATGCATATGTTAATAATTCCCACGACTGTATCTATTTTATTATTTTTTGTTTTTTAGTGCATTTATCTTAAACATTGCAATGTATGTTTAGCATAAAACCGTTTAACTTAAAAAGTATTTTTACCTATTTTTATTTTCTAGTTTTAAGTTTTTGTTTCGCATTCTGTTTAATTCATTTAGTGTTTGTTGGTACTTGTTGAGACCTTTCATACCCATGTTGATGGAATTGATAAAACCTGATAACTTATCCGCCACTTTGTAGAGACCACCATCTTGGATTTTAATTTTATATAGTACATTATATTCTGCTTGTTGAGCCCTTTCATTTGATACCCATATTGATGAGATTGATAAAACCTAAGTTATCCGCCATTTTGTAGCGGCCGCCATCTTAGACTTATAATTATAATGAATAAACATAATTGTATTGTCATCAAAACCCAAAGTGTATACAAAATTTCAGATTAATCGGTTGACAGGAAGAGGGTGAACTTTGAATTACTAAATTTGACCCAAGAATAAATAATAAATAAAAAAAAATAAACGGGGTGAGCTAAATAAAACAGTTAAATAAAAAATGTCTATGTACAGTATATGTCTATCTTTTGATTTGAATTACTTTAAAGGACGACGCGACGGGACTGGGATGACGTCGTGGGTAACATTTATAATTTATTAGAAAGGTTGTTTGCAAAAATAAATTACATTATACCCAAATAAGTATTTCACGAAGTTACAGTCGTTTGTTAAATAATATATCTTTAATAGTTTTAAACGCGAAGTATATTAGTTGACCAGTGCTACTATAAAGTATAGGAAACCTGTATGTTTAGCAATCCAAAAGCAGTTAAATAATTATTTAAATAAATGTTAATTTATATAGGGCTTTCATGTGCATAACATGTAAAAATTAATAAAGTTTTCATTTAATTTATTAATACGACGCCCTGGAAAAAGTAAATTTCATTTACCAAATAAACTAAACATGTTTGAGGCGTTTTCAAACTCGGATAAGCTTTCTTTCTTATAATACAAGTCTCCTTACCTTGTATATTAAGGTAAAAAGGGGGTCCGTGCCAAAAATTTATTTTTTGAAAGTTGGCCAATAATTGTAAAATATACGACACTTCTTACCCAACTCTCCCCTAAGTTTTTTATCATTAAAAATATTTTCGGAAGACAATACGAAAAACACAAAGAAACTTTCCTTATTTAAAGTCCGGCGATAAAACAAAAGTGTGCCTTTAGATTTGAATCTTGCGGTCATTAGAGAGTCAAGTTAGCATACATTTTAATATCGCAAGACAGCTGCGGCTCTCGAATAAGGCCTCCTCTCGCAAAATGTCAAAACAACTGTTTTATTTATATTCTCTCCTCCCTGTATCTAACGCGGGATTTATTATAGCAATATTCCGTCGGACAAGTCTGATATTATGTTGAAGGCAATGTTTTCTTACCGACTGACTATAAAATATGTGAATATTTTATCTTGTATCGATCCCATTGATGGTCATGTTATTTAAAGATCTTGCTGCGATCTCTGCCCGACATTCTTCAGAGAATAAGACATACTTGTAAATCCTTTTCACGATCCATTATAACCATTAATAAGCACTTGTTTTGCTAACACGGAACAAATATTTTCAAATATAAATCTTAGAATATAGTTACTTATAACCTTAACTCAAAATGTATATATTTACTCTATGAGGTTTCAAACGCATTTTACCATAGACACAGATAATAAGAACTAAAGAAGCTAATTTAGCGCCACTTGTTTTCTTAAAGTACATGCTACTAACTACATAGGTCGAATGTGTGATGTGAAGTGGATATTCGAAAATTTACAGACTGAAATTGAAACGGTGTTTCGTGACCCGGACTGGATTTCCATATTCCTACCACATTAATATACAGATTTCCAGACGAACTCCAACATATAATAGAAAAAAATTATAAATTGGAAAATTAGAAAATTATTGGAGCCGATGGGGAACCCACGACCCGTTGATTATTAGCCATACATTACTACTTTGCTATTAGACCAAGCGAACTACAGATAATTCTCAAATATAAATTGGTTTCGTTACCAAAACTTTTGTTCCTCTGCCAAACGCCTTAATGAAGACAACGTTGAAAACTCGAATAGATGCGACCTAAATTGTACCTTGAATTAGGTTGCTGTTAATTGAATTTCCTTACCTCGCTTCAATGACCTTATTGGCTTATTCCACTCCACGATCTAAGGTTCTTACGAGTAAAACTCATCAGGTTTGTCTTTGCGTAAATTACACATTCAGTTAAGAGGGCGTGGAAATGGTTGTTTTAAGGGCAAAGAAGGGGGAGAACAATAACAAATACGTATGTCTTTTGTTAATTCTCTAATTAATAAGCAACTCTACTGATTTTCATATTCTTATTTATAATACAAACAGCCTTGATTTCTTTTCATACATTTTTTAATCCTCTTTTAAATATAAATAACGGTTTAAATCGCAAAATATTATTGTTACTTACATTTTTAATTATACTCAAAGTTCTGGGTGTATCAATAATTTTTGATACTAGTGGTTAATTATAATTATTATTTTCGTGTTTTAAACCGTTGCGTATTAATTTAATGTGTATATGTACTTACATCTTACATAAACTCAAAACCAAACTACTAAGGTTTTTAAAGTTTTATTTACTCTAAAATCTATTTATATTGAAGAATAGAATAAGAAATGAATAAAGCAGGCGACCTGCAAAAACATATGAGAAATAAACAAACTTACTTTTCATTTTTTTCTTTGATATAAGAATATTGTTGCCCCGGGTCAAAGTTATCATACGACACTAATAACCGTTTATAATGGAAAGCGTCTTTTTCATTCAATCCGATACCCAGGACTGGATTTATGGAAGGCCAAATGGGACAAAAGGGGACATACTAGAGATTTTTTTTTTTTATTCCGAAATTAAAAAAAAAATGTCTGACATAAATTATTATTACTTAATATTATATATACATATTATTACTTGACGAATATTTTGGGGCCTCTAGGTCTCTCCTTTAAGGCCCCAAGACGTCCACACCCCTTAACCCGGCCCTGATGATAGCTCATTTAATCCTACATTATAATAGCAATTATAATCTTCTACGAGCGGAATTCTGAGCAATATGCAAATAAGATCAAATTGCATATGCGCTATCGTAATGGGAACACTTTAAACTAGGGCTTGAGTGTGAATACGTTACGCGATTACGCTAAATAACATAAAAAATATTGATTTTATTGGAGAAGTATTTTAACTTACTCGCCCTATGATTGTAATAGTAAAACCAACGGGGTCGGTTGGATTTCTACCGGATTTAACAGGTTTTTAAATTATTATCTTGTGGAATGGATTTATGTATCGAACTTGAGCCACGAACCGTATACAGATAAAATACCGACATTTAGGTTAGAGACTTGAACTTCCACATGAAAGCCAAAAAATGGCGATAGGGCTCCGCCAAGTGACGCTCATGTTGGCCATAAAAAAATAACACGAAAAAGAAAGTATTTTCCATTAAAACTGTAGAAACGAAAATGGTCAAGAGTCCCGAATCAAAAGGCTTTCCCAATCTAATTAAGGCGCAAGTGATTAAAACGAAACACACTAATGTAACACCAAAAATGCGGAACGTTCTCCCATAGCACGTTCGCGTTTTCATTTCTTAGTCGAGGTTAATTATCCTAAGTAACATTCCACAAAATAGTGCGCTGCAATTAAGAACGACTCGTTTCTTCAGCTCGATTCCAGCAAACCAGTAACCACCCTACGTTTAAATCTCGCTTTGTGGGCGCAGTTTAAACTGTTTCAACCGTGAAAACTTGCGACTATTTATAGCGCGATAAATGCTGTTCTTTTTAATTAACTTCTAACCAACTTCTTAATCATATCGGTAGCTTTTAGCGAACATAAGTTTAAGACTTAAATGCATTTATCCACTTTGCATTTAACTTGTAGCGAGTTTTGTTTCAACTGAGTTCCTTAATGTTTTTTCTTTGTCATAGCGGGCTGCATTTTTGCTAATGTTTTTGTTTGTAGTTTGGTCACTGTTTAAAATGTACTGTGCAACTGTAGAGATAATGTAGAACCTAACTTTTTTTTGTGATAATAAATGATTAATCTTATCGTAAAATAAATATCTCAATATCTCTACTATTCCCCCATAAAAGCATTGTCTAACTTTACAAAATGAACAAGTCATTTCGCGTCGGCGCCGCTGAAGCCTCTGAAAACTTGGCAAAAAGAAACTTGCAGAATCAGGTATTCTTGAAAAGAAATATTCAAAGAAAATCTCTCTCACAACAATGACTTGTCATATTTGAGATCACTTGAAATTTGTTAACACAGACTTTGCTAAACTTTTAATTGCTTTATAAACTTCCACGGTGACATCACATTGACTCTAATCTACGAGAACACGACACAGTAAGGAGCTCTTTTATTCTTCTTCTTCCTCATCGGTGAGGTGACAAGGTTTTTCTTTTGCCCACTGGTCTGCTGCAGTCAACCGACCGTGTCTCTTTCTTCTCTGTCTTTTTCTATGTTTGCCTATTTCATCTTGTCTGTTCCCACCAGGAGAATTAGTACGAAGTCTTAAGCCGTCCCTCGAATAGTAAGTCCTTGTTTTCGATATCATATACTTAATTAATTTCATCATATAAACGATAATTAAAAATAGTATCCCATAATACAGTACTTTGTGCGCAGTCGATTCTTCGGGTTCCTTAAAAACTAGCATTTTCTGCACTAGGAATTATTATTTTTATTTACTAAAATTTAAATTGAAACATGTTTGACAAGACATTTACATAAATGTCTGAGGTAATTTTAATCGATAGGTGACAAGTGGAGTGACAATCTATTCACTAGTTACTAAGCAAAAAAACTTCTTGGATATTCATAGATAGGAGTTTTTATTATTCGTGTATTTTATATGGCTACACTTGCAGCTTTATTAATTTAAATTAAATCACTTATGCCTTCTATATATTAAATATGATATTTTTTGCGTGGTAGTAGCTATAAACACCATCCAGTTGCGCAATGCAAGTTAGAAGTTAAGCACTAACAAAGTTAAATGCTAGAGATCCTAATTTTACTTGTATTTAGTACCAGTTGTAAAAACAATTAACGAGAAGAACTAGCAAGGAACTCGCCGCTAATCCCGTTATCGCAAACTTTTATTTTGAATACGTACTTCGAGTTAATATCTTCGACTTCTTGCCGTTTCCTCCAAACCCCAAGCCTTGTTATTATATTTATAAAAATGATGCCCTACACAAAGCAAAAGAATTCCGGATAAAATTGCACTAAGTGCCGCGCAGCACCGCCGTCCACCTAATCACATTTAAGGCAACCGATATGAAATTTCGCATACTCGCGAAACGTAACAGAATTCCCGCAACAAATCCATTCTCCGTATCACTGACATGAGTGAAACAATGAAGTTATGCCAGCGTGTAATGTCGTTAACAACTCGCTGCTCGTCGACTAATAATTTCATAGTAAACATAAAGGTGAATAATGCTCCGCCCGAGACTTTCAACAATGAAGCTAGATGTAGGAACAATTTATTCCCGTAACACTGTTAGAATAATTCTATGCAAGGGCGCTTGTTGTTTCGTTAATTAAATTATTTTTCTTTTATATAACGAATTGCTTTAGTACGCGTGTAATAATGAATCTTAATTATAATTATACGCTAGCTAGGTATCTACGCGTAGGGTACAACACCTAAAATTATTAAAATAAGTTTGTAAAAGTATATTTTATCGTCAGTCCTTTAATAGTCCACTGCTAGTACCAATGCGTGTTGATAAATGATACATATTGATTTTATGTTTGGTTTTACATACCGATTCATTTAATTCTTTTTCTTCGCTGCACTGCACTTGTTAAGATGTGTTGTTCAGGGATCAAACTCCCGACTACTCAAACTGAAGTTGCCTGCATACCACTTTTTTTTGTACCGTCGGAAAATGCCTCCCTGGGTACGGCTCAGTGTTAAGCTGACACGTCTAACGACTGCTCAAGCGGCAGCCCATATGTGAAAGCGAGCTAGCCTGTCTCCTTGGCCTAAATAATTGGTACTTACGAAGTCTATTAAATTTCAGATTATATATATCTAATTTTCTTTAAATAGTATATCCCTCTACCTACAGGGACAATAAATACATAAATCTTTGACAAAATGCTGTTCATGCATTTTATCTAAGCGGAATAAACTATGTTTGTGTCAATACAACAAAATAAACTACAGGGAAGTGTTTATACGGTTACAGTAGAAACACTGCCAAATGCGACAACGTTCCCAACGGGCAATCTGGGTTCCTAAATTAGGTAATAGACCCAGACTTAATTAGAATAACACAGTTCAATCTAAACAGGTACCGCTTTAATTATAAACTGTCCGAGCTAAATGCACTGACGATATTATACGAAATTGCAGCGTCTGGGGATGGCTCGGCAAGTTTGAAGTTTTGACATACCGCTAGATATACTCCAAGACACGTTTATACGACAATTTCTGTTGAGAATACGTTAAAATTGGACTTTAAGCGCCCAGAAAACGTGTCAAGATATTCTTATTAAGTTTTACTCATGTATAGTCCCTAGCGTACGCTAATGGCTACAGAAAAATACCAACATTTGCGTTGTTAAATTGAAAGGGTTTAATTGAATTTAATAACATAACCGAAAACTAAACATACCTACCTATTTTACAGCCAGAAAGGATAAAACACATTTTTTTAATCCAATCGCAAACATATGTTTGCTTTACTAAATAAAATAAAAGATATATATATATTATTGTGAATTTAAACTTAGGAACTAAACCTCAAGCTAGATTGAGACTTAAGCTAAGTCTACATTATATTAAGTAGAGGTAGAGGCAAGCACTCGTATATTCCAATTTACTTAGATGAAATGAATACGTGACGATGTGGGAACGACTTCAATTTGGTTAAGCATTAAGCGTTTTAAGACAATTTCAACGTCGTATTAAACACGTCCATGCAATATATGAAAATGATATAATATTAAAATGAAATACTGTTTAAAAATTAATTTTCTTACGGCCCGACGTTTCGGATGCTTTGCAGCAGCCGTGGTCATGGGGATAAAGATGTAGGGTTTCTCTGACGTCAAAGTAAAAATTGCTCCACTAGAGCCATCTGTTCCGCCCAGTTTTGCCAAATAACAACTTCGACGGAATAGATGGTGCTAGCGTAGCAGTTTTTTACTTGACGTCAGAGATACCCTCCATCTTTAATCTCCCCGCAACCACGGCTGCTGCAAAGCATCCGAAACGTTGGGACGTAGTTAGAAATTTTCAAATAGGTTTAAGTAATAATTAACGCGTTTTGAACCGTTAAAGTGTTTTATATAAATATTAAAAGTAATAAACTGGCGTTTTAGTTATTACGACGTATGCTGTAAAATCTAATTACTTCCATTATAGCGATAAAATAATATCACTTCTCTCGATGTTATCACATAAAAGCGTTGTAGATAAAAAGCCAGCGATTTTTCCACGCCGGAAGTAATGGAACGTCTAGCTAGTTGAAAATGAAGCCTTCATAAATTATTTTAGAAAGGCATTGATCATGAAACTTGCTATAAAATTATTGGATTCGAGCTTGACGTTCTCAAGGTGAGCCTACAGGTTTAAACTTAAGTGTATAACTAGCAGTGCCCGCGACTTCGTCCGCGTGGAATAGTATTTTTAAGAATTATTATATTTATTTTTGCACTCTCCTCAACTTATAAATAATAGCTGTTACCACGACGTCGTCCGCGTCCCTTCGTTCCGGTCCCATCGGTCTTACAAGTTAATATTAAATGATACATATACTATCGCGGACACTTTTTTAGATCGTGTTCGTGATCTCGAACCCTCGCAGCGCATAAATGCTCACAAGGCATAAACCAACACAAAAATATTTTTTTATTTTTCCCCAGTAGTTCCTGAGATTAGCGCGTTCAAACAAACATACTCTTTAGTTTTTTTCTATTTTCCTTAGCTTCTTCGCGACTTTTGGTCACAGCCTTCTACAGTGTTATAGTCTAAATAAAGCCTTCCTCGATAAACGGCCACACACATAAAAATAATTTTTCAATTCAAATAAATAGTTCCCGAGTTTAGCGGGTTCAAACAAAAGAACTCTTCAGCTTTATAATTAGTATTGATAACAAAAAAACAACGTGGTTTATTTAAGAAAAAACACAGGACTTTTCAAATTGTTTCCTCGCGCGAGTTATGTCAAATACAACTCTGGTTATAAATAATTCGCATAACAAGCAATCGTACGAGTGACAATCTGTTATTCATAATATATCAGAGGGTCGCAACCCCTAATGGAACGTAATGTCCCTTATGACAAGAGCATAGTGAGTAATTTCCCGCGAAGCCGCACATTTCAATCTCATACAATATTGGGGATGATTTGCACGCTCGCATATGCGGAACACGCACTGTTACCTGACGAATTTATCACTTTCGCGAGTTTGGCAACGGCGACAACACTACACCAGAATGACACTATGTATCAATTCTATTGTGCAGCTGCTACAACCGATTTTCGATCGCGTTTGAAGAAAATTGAGAGCGTGTTTAAACCATGAAATATGTTAGTTAACTTATTAACTAAAATATTTCGTGTTTTAAACCGTTAAAAGTATTTTATTTATATGTTAACAGTTTGTATTTTAATGAAACAAATCTGCCCCAATTTGACAACTAGTAAAGATGATTTTAGGAGTAACCATGCCGATTACAATACGTACATATTGTACGTAATACTTTGCGATCACTGTTTTCATTTATTATGTTTTACGCCTTCTCTAACTCATCAGATATGTAAAATATTCAACCAGTTTCGCTCGAACTTCGCTGTAAACTCCGCGGGTTAAATTATTTTCCCCTGTGCTATTACCGTGATTAAAAAAAGAGTAATTAGGTTGATTAAAATTGAATCTTCATTAACACGGAGCCACGTTCCAACATTTTATAATACTTTTTTCTTAACCTGATTAATCATTCTCTGGGTCACTTATTTCGGGTGGGTGTCAAAAATTGCGAAGGGTATTTTCCGTGTCAGTAATCCTCCTCATTTTCCTAACGAACGCGCCCTCCACACTTCAAAGTCTTCTAACATAACGTTAACAGAGGACTCTTATTAAGAAAGCTTGTCAAGTTTCCCTCTGATGACATTAAAATGTTATCGCCATAACTATAAAATAATTCATTAGTACATCAAATAAAAAAATATTTACATTATTTTTATACTTCCTACAGAAAACGTATGAGAATAACAAGATAAGATTACTTTTTGTAAACTGAAAACAATTTTAAATACAGATTTATTTTACGCATTAAACTGTATAAAAGGAAGTTTGATTAATTGTGAAGTTTAATCTCGATTCGGTTTCAGTCTGTAGATTTCCGAATATCCAAAGCCAAAATACGCTGACGGCGTACCTTGTTCAATGTTGTATTACTGAGGTATTTCATCTACGATCTAGTGGACGACATGCGTGTCCGTCCTTATTTATGACATTTGTTATATACCTATTGTCGTTTTTACCTTACATTATTAATTTAACAGTGTTCTAAAGCAAAAATAATACATTGTTCCATATTATAGCTATTACTAATACCACAGCCCAAAATATATGCAACTTTTATTCTAATGATATTTATTGAAGTATTAAAATCGAGATTAAATACCTATATCT